TTTCTGTTGCTTGCCACTCTAAAAAAAAAAAGCAAGAATTCAGTTTCCCATTTAACAGGATCTCTTAGCTGGACAAATCTGTGGTAAATCAATTGTGATCCTGCCACTTCCTCCTGTCCCATTAATCCCAACTCTACCTGTCTATCCTTGTCACCAGACCCCCACCTTCCTATCTTTCCTGTTGCTTGGACTTGGCCTTTTGCTGTCCTGGTGTTCCTACCTGCCAGCTGCCAATCTATGTTTGCCTGCTGATGTGCCACTGATGTTATGATATAAACAATGAAATATACAGAGACCTACATAAAGACCTTGAGACAATTGGAGTGAGAATTATCCTACAACCATCCTGAACTGGAAATGTTGCTGGGCTGAAATATGCTGATAAAAATTATAGATCTGCAAGCTATGATGATCTGGTGAATAAAGTATTGCATTACATTTATCTTGGCAATATGTTTAATTCTTTCATATTAAAGCTTCACAATCATTCAGATAGAGGCATTACAAATTCAGGTCAAATTAGTGTTTAACAGAATATACTGTCTAAAAAAGGCAAATGAAAAATTCCATAGTGCACCGATGAAACTGGTAATTTATTATTTACTGATTCTATTCTGTTCAAAGCTTGACAGCAATGGTATTAACTGTTACGATATGAATGACAATTGATTTTGCTGCTGCCATAACATAGCAGCTACTCATTTCTTCCTTGTAGTAATGTCTGCATGGCATTTTATCAATATTTAGAGCTGGAATGTGACAAGATGAACAATATAAATAGAGCATTTGTCAGATTTTGCAGATCTTTTTCCATTTGCTGCAATGCAGCGATTACAGATGAAGAGTTGTTTTCTAAAACCTTTTTATGTAAAACCAGTGGCACAAAAACAGATACAAACAAGGATAATGAATACAAAAGAGCTACACATCTCTAAGAAACAGAGCCAGAGTGTGTGTTTGTGCATTTCCAAAAGAGCGTGGGTGTATCGTGCGATGAAAGGGCAGTCTGCAGGAGAAAGAAAAAGAATGAGAAACTGCAGTGGAGTGTTAAGACAGGTTGTAGTGTAGACCGTACTGAATAAATGGGTCTTGAATCTGCAACTGAATAATGAAAGTGTCTGATTCATCTATAAAAGGGCAGGAAACTTTTCTATGAAAATTAGTGCTGCCTTAGAACAGCATGCAGCTATTTAATGTGTGGGATAACAGAGGGATACAGTGAGGTTTAATTACACTTAAGAATGGAGGCATGAGGTCAAAATATTATTTAAATCTGTGTATAAATCCTGCAAAATAATACTCAGCTTAACTGAGACACTATTTGTCATGATGATGTTCTTAGGGGTGGTTAACACTCACCTCACAGCACGAAGGTTTCAGGTTGGAACCTTGTGACCAACTGGGCCTTTCTGTGTGGAGTTTGCATGTTCTCCCAGTACATGTGTAGATTTTCTCTGGGTTCTCTGACTTCCTCCAACATTCCAAAGACATGCAGGTTAGGTTGACTAGTGACTCTAAACTGCTCCTAAATTGCCTACAAGTGCCACATTAAACCTGGCAGGTGTTTGTTGTATCTTTATACCCTCCCCCAGGTCACTGTAAAAACTTTAAGGTCAAGACCTGGCTATGTAAAGTGCCTTGAGATAATTTTTCTGATTTGGTGCTATACAAATAAAACAATTTAATTGGGACTGCTAGTAAAACCATGTTTCTGCAGTATGTGTCAGGCATGTGATAGATTGGCAGCCTCTTGACCAACGTCGTTTGGGTTTAACTCCAACCCCAACCCCCCCGCAACCCTCTAGAGGGCAGGAGAAATACTGCAGATAACAAATGGATGATGTTCTTGGTTCAAATAAACCTCAGTTTCTCCCTCCAGTACTGAACTGCTTGCTGGCATGATGTCAGCAGGGAAATAAAACAAAGCTGACGGTAATACCTCTGAGATAACACAGGGGTCCTACAAGATAAGGGATAAGTATCTAAAGCTGAAATACGTTTTCTGAAGCAGCATTCATTTAACCTCGTAATGCAAGCCTTCAAACACTAATTATTCCATGGTTCTGGCTCTCACCTTGTTGACATGTCAGGACAAAGTACTTAATTAAATGTTAACAAGAGAGAGTTCTATGAGCTATTTGTCATACTACCTTCATCCTTATTGCATTGTTGTGAGCCCTCCTTGTCTACTTACAAATCAATTCAAAGTTAATTACCCAGTCTAGTTGGCAAGAAACCCAAACAATCATTTGGGATCTTTAAATTACACCGATTGTTAGTCTTCAGAGTGAGATAAAATTGAGTGTCGTCAGCAGAGTGAGATAAAATTGAGTGTCGTCAGCATAACAGTAATGAGCAATAAACTCGCGTGAAGAAACCTAAAATTAAAAGGACCTACAACTGATATTAGTTATGAAGAGGACAGCGTTCATGTACATGGAAAAGTTCTAACTATAAGGTGAAACAGGACTGTTCCAGTAATACAACTACATTCTGGGAAAGATTAATGTTTTAGTCTGGTTTGATGGCAAAGGTGATGCTAATAAGGTGTAAAATAGCACCAGCATTAAATTAAGAGGGTGTCTATCAAAAATGTTAAACCAGTGTCCCCAGAAATTACATTCACCTCCTATTTACAGCCAATGCCAAGATTCAGTGCCAGTGCAATAATCTAATGGTACCTTTTATGTAGCCAGAATAAGTGTATGGAGGTCTGGATGATGGATGAATGAATAGTATGCCAAACTTTCATACAAGCTTCGACTAATAATGTACATTTGTTTTTTTTAATTCTGACCTTCCCATAACTTCAACTAAGTTTTACTTACCCTGATCACACTTCTGCCATATATAGATGACAAAACGTTGTTGCCTAACGATCTTGTTTTGCAGAAGACGGTACTTGCAGGGCAACAGAGCATGTTGTCACTTTCAAATCAGAGGTCATTTATAATAAAAGATGGGAAAAGCCAAATTATCATTGGCTTGTAGTGGTGCTATCAGCAATACTTCATTAGCCAGTAGCAAAAGAAAGAAAAACCAGAGCGAGATAAATGACCGCTGTGATATTCTGACATTTAACAAAAGGAAAAGAAAATAATTTGAGTTTCAATGATGTCAGTAGGATAACTAAATGGCTCATACCGAATTTTGTTGCAGAAAAAATTCATTCTTGTGGTTTTAATTCTCCAAACCATTATTTCATTGTGTCAAAAAATACTAGTAGTTCTTTATTTCAGATATGCTGAGCTTTTCTATTTGCAGAGCCCTAGTGTATTATTGAGCTCAGGGTGAGTTTTAGGCTGGAGGCTTGCCATTTTTAAAAGGGTCAGCAGGTATAAGTGGTATGTAGAATAATTTCCTCTGCATTTCCCTTTCATAAAATCTTTATGTAAATTCATTTCAGCTGTTTTTACTTGTTAGAGGGATCCGATTACTGGTGTTCTGAAGCATCCTTTGACTTCGTTTGTTACAGAATGTTGTCCTTTGACAGTGAATGGTGACCATTCATCGATATTCACTCTTGAATTTGGGTCACAGTTAAATGCACCATAAGGACACACCATGCATTTTTGTTAGTTAAGCTATTAGATGTTACAGTATTTTTTTTTTTAATCCATCAGTGTTGAAATTACTGCTAACAAAGAGTAGGTTACATTAGCATCAGGAATAATTGCAGCTTTGGCAGAAAAGGTAACAAAAAAATCTGTTATGACCAATAAGGAATTTGTTAAACAAAATCAAAAGTTGTTATATACAATATTTAAGAGTGAAAAGGCCTTTCTCTGCTTGGCAGCAGCCAAAGTCTGGAAGCAGAGCAGTAGCCTATAGGAAATAACCACCATGAATCAAAATGGCCTGATGCCGACACTGCTGTCCAACACTTCTGTTCTGCCAAGGCTAACTCCTCTGATGCCCACTTTTCTCCAAACCAGCTATTCAGGCAGATGGATAGAAAAGTTAGAGTTGCTGATGGCTGCCATAGTTATCAGAACCATCACCTCATCACACACAGGAGACAGAATGAGAGAGGACAACACCCCTGAACTCAATTATATTGTACATTACATTAAAACTGCTTTATTAATACTCTGATATGGTTAAGTTAATGCCGACTACTCAAATATGTTGGACATTTGGCCGATTAGGTATTTGAATAATTTATCATTGTTGTGTTTGTCCATAGGAAGCTTTTAAACAGTATTAACTCAGCAGCTACATTGTAACCAGCTAGATAATAAAGGGTATTTGAACTATTCAGCACTGCTGCTCTCAGAAATAAATTAAAAACACTTGAAATAAAAACTGAAAGTTGTTGGATTTTACTGAGCATTTGCACAGTGACAGTTAATTTAAAGGGCAACACCATGCTTGTATTCTGCTAGAAGCCTCTGTACCAGTATATTTAAACATGCAAGAAGTGGCCTTGTGGCTACGCAACATTTCACTATGAAGTCAGGTAATAAACAACATGTTGCATTCTGGGGTTGAGAGGGAATCAACAAGCCCACTAACATCACTGGTTGTTGAAGAAAAATGAAAGTTTACTGTTGAGTTCCGGTTTGGTGGTTTAATTCAAAGCCATTGAGATTTCTCACATGAACAAATAAAGCTTGAAAATTTAATGGTCATTTTCAGCAGATGGCTTAGTTATGTGGCGCTGTATTGCCCTTTAATGCCCTGGCATAAAAGCAGAGATGGTGACAGTTGCACTTGAACTGCAAGTTAAGGCTCCAGTCAATGTGTTTAGAAACCTGCAAAAGGTGCATATTGTCCTAGTATCTTACCTATTATCTAAGCTTAAAAAATGAACCGGCAGAGGGCACACACTCTGGCTCTGAGAGGGAGAGGTTGTTCTCAATTACACTGGACACAGAAGCAGAGACCCGTGTGGGTACATGACATGTTTATTCCCCTTCATTTATTTAAACATGTTCAAATAAATCACTGGGATGTGAATTTTAAGGCTGCAAATTAATGTCATTATCACATTGGCTCACCTTGGCTTTGTTAATGGTGCAGTGCAGTGCATTGTTCTCTTGGTCATACAGCAAACTGAATTCCAAGGTCCCCAGTGTAGCTGCAACACCAAAGGAAGAGAAAGCATTAGTTGCTGGAACAGAAATCTTTGTGGCACACAAACTACCCCACTGGGGACAAAGAAAAGAAAATCCCTGCCTGCATACTAAGTCCTAACTGGAAATTCCACTATGGTCTAATTAATTAAAGCTATAATAAACATAGAAATAAACACAAAAATGAACATTCACAAAAATTGGTGAATGGAGGTTTGAGTTGTTAAAACGGTTTGTCAGTTTTTTGTGGTATACAGACATCATCAACACATTTAGTTTGTAATCAAAGAGACGATCAGGAGAACCAGGAACAATCCTGGTGGGCTGGTACAGCGGGAAAACAATAATTGTGCAAGTAATTAGTTCCTCCCTGACACAACTGGTTGCTCTTTATAGCTCAATACCTCATATCCTGCTGACAGGTGAGAGTACTATACTCAAGGCTAGAGCAAAAAAAGTTGAGAACCTACAGTATATGTTACTGGCTAAATTTTCTAAAATAATGGATATATTCTGTGCGGGTGGACACTAAATGGGAATGTTAAGTAGTCAAAATGGACAAAGTATTGACATGTTAAACAAGCTAAATTTGATTTCATCATTACCCAGTCTTAACCATTATACTATATCCAACATACAATTACTGAATTAATCACGTAGGGTTGTGAGTATTTTCCTTTAATTGTAATGTTTTCCATTGACAGCAATTTATTTTCCTTGGTTTGGAGCTGGGTCAATTTAAAGGTTTAATTGCCTTTCTATGCTCTGCTAAACATTGTTTAAGTCTCAGGCTGAACACAAGACCCACTTCACCCCTGCTTGTAATTAACTAGCGTTTCTTTAAAACGGAGTCTACCATATCCTGATAAAGTACTACAGAGCAGTCAACTGTAACACACAGAAGGAACTCATCCTTTCAAAGTGACATGGGACAAGTGACAGTTCAGCAACTACAACATAAAGATGGACCTAGTAACATCCATCTAGAATATCCTAGAAAACATTTGCTTTAGTTTTAGAAATGTGAAGCTTCACCATATTAAAGGCTGGTTTTGTGACCTGATGCCATGTCACTTTTTAAATTCTCTATCAATTTATATTGCACTTTACCTCAGCCTGGACAAATCTCTCTAAACCGCAACCGGTCATTTGACTGTTGATCATGAACCCATGCCCAAAACCAGATATGGAAACAAACACAAGAGACATGTGCAGTATGGCTGCTGAATTTTTGCCATGCTGACAGCAAGATGCTGCTAGGACTATGTTGCAGCATTTGGTCCGGAGTAATACATTTCAAAATATTTCAACTCCGTATAATCATATGGAGTAGCATATAAAGTAGCTAAGAATCCATTAAATGCCATGTATTTTCTTTGCTAATGGTTAATTTATCAGATTTAATAAGCCAATATGTTTCATGATGACACAGAATACATACAGGTATTTGAGAAATTTTATTTTTAGAGATTAAGAAACAAGACAATTTGTCCTTCCAGGAACAACTCTATGACAAACATTTAATCCACTAACATTGCTTGTGTTTATCTCTGTATTCTGGTTAACAGGAGGATTCTATTGGGCATTTTGCATAGGTGCTGCTTGTAACACTGTTTTTGCACTGCAGATGCATGAGCCTTCTGGACAACTGCGGGGTACAGCCCAGTAAGATGCAACAGTACTAGGAACCCTACAGGAATATAATAGAGTAGAATCATTTTTCACCAGCAGAGTCATATTCCAGTCTTGCTGTGCAGCATAATTTGTGACTAAGAAAAGTTGATAGGTCTAATTTCACTTTACTTACTTGCAAGCAATAATTACCCAATTATCTACAAAGAATTATAATTTACATAATTTACATTAAAGGAATAAATAAATGTAATAACTATTTGCACCAAGGTCTTTTATTAGAAAGTACTGAGTTACTCAAAAAAGAAAATGCCATAGAATGTGGTAGTTCCTTCCCTTTCCATAGGAAATATATGTGAACACTAAAGGAATCTCAGTGCACAGGGAAATATTATCTATATGGTATAATGCCTGCAAGTATGTTGAATTAATGAGATGCTAAAATATTGGATCCAGCAGAGGATTCCGTTTTTTAAAACGGAGGATAAATCAAATGATGTGATCGTTTCTCAGGGTATAAATGACAAGTGTTGAGAAGCAGTTACAATGTCTACATTTCTTGTACAAAATATATTGTTCTTACTGTGTAAAGATTTATGTGCAGTGGGAACTTGATCCCTGCAATCACAGACAATACTTGAAGCTACATTTTGAAGATGCATCAACCACTTGTTTTTTAAAAGGATGAATTATGACTGTGGAATGACATGAATGTCCAGAGGAAAAGTAAAATATACATCAGAGTTTAACACAGTGAGATTCTGTATTTTAGAGCATTAAGTCTCACTCTTTCACAAGCCATCACTTTTAATACTTTACATATACTAAGCACTGATCAACAGTTGTCTCCATTTAGACTGTTTATAATTCTATAATGAATAGCACTGTTGCATCAAAATGGTTCAGGCCTTCAGCTCCATATCCCCCATTAGCACCTATTAACCAGTCCATTCTCATTCCCAGGGCATCAAATACTGATGCTTTGTCTGGTAGCTTTCGTGTGTCACACAGATGCTAAAGGCTATGTTTGGTGTCTGTATGAGACGCACAGGCTGTTCACTAGAGTGCAGCACTCATGTTAGTATTTAATGCCCAGAGCAACAGGTCTGGTTGTGGTGCAGTATAACACACAAAGGCAACGATAGGAGGTGGTTGTGGTGGATGAGTGGGCCACATAAATATCAACCTTTCCCACAGGAGTGTGATTTTAACAGATAAGGCTGGTTATTTTCAATGTCAGTAGCATTTTCAGCAGTCTCCCTACAGAGACTAAAACTGAATGATTTGCCTCGACTGAGCTGTCAGTCCTGGATTAGCTAGTTCATCTGTGCCATAGACCTCCACAATTAAAAGCAAATGAGGAAAACACCGCTGCACTCGGTGGTTTTTTTTTTCATTACAAAACCCCAGACCTGACTAAGCTGCCCCAAAACCTCCATCATTTCCTTAAGTTAGCACAAGTCAACTGCACATGCATGAGATCTTGTGCCAGCTCTGATGTATTATTTGTTTTTGAACAACAGAGGTCTAACACAAACAAGCTGATCCAGGACTGACACACTAAGGCACATTAATCATGAGTAGAGGCAACTCATTGTCAGTTTGTCTTGGTATGCACGGGGAGCATTGAAAATACTGTTAATATAGAAAATGAGCAGCCTTATCCTTTAAGTCCGGTGTGTGACAATGTGCTTTTTAATCTGTGAGTGTTTTAACCCAAGTCAATCTTTTCCTAAACAGAATCACTTTTCCCCTAAATCCAACTATAATTTTTGTACCCAAACCTAACCAGAGATAGGGCCTACTTGACAAAGGATAAGGATAATCACCTTTATTGGCCAAGTATATTACACATAAGGAATTTGTTTCCGGTACAAAACCGATGGCAGCCATTTGCCGCAGCACCTCAACCGATGGCTCTAACCATCGGTTGAGGTTTGAGTGATGACTGTCAGAGTGGCCACCACAACAGCTTCATTACTTCCCTCTAAACAAAACTGTTGACAATTTCCACCAAGTGAGGCCAGCTGAGGTTTATGATACATTGCAGGATACCTCTACATACATGCAGTAACTTTGACTTTCTCTGTGCAGAAACCCAGAAATCTTTAATCACCTGCAAATTTGGACATTTTGATAGTGTCTGATCAAATCTTTAAGTTTCAGGCAAGGAAGGACCCAAAATGCAGACACGGTCTGGAGCCTAGTGTTTTAGTCTTTATAAGAAATAAAGAAAAAGTACTGGGTGCTCAACCTGACAGGATAGAACTAATGACTAACAGAATGTTCAGGGAACCAAAAAACTAAACTTGGGTAAAAAACTCAGAATGACAAACATACAAAATCAAACAAACAAGGCGATGGGAGGTCAAACTTATAAGAGTCCAGAAACAGAACATGAAGACAAAAGAACCACCCGGGTGTTGAGATCATGGAGGGAGCACAGGAGACAGAACAAGTGAGGCATGGAGAACAGATGAGCCAGCAACCATACTGAGGGAAGGCAGGAGGATATATACACAAGAGGGGAGAGGATAATGAAGGACAGGTGAATGCAATGAGTGTTAATTGCAGATGGAGTAAAGCTGGGGCAGGTGGAGTAACAGGACAGGAAATTAACCAAAGTAAAAGCACCCAACAGGAAGCAAGTCCACAAACCATAACACTGTCAGACTTCAAATACTGATTGACAACTGAAGTTGTAACACAGGCTTGAACACGTTTAAAGAAATTAGCACACCCTGTGAACACCATTTTTGAGCTCACTCAGGTGAAAGTGCAAGTAGGGTGTTATTAGCAGCAAATAGCTCAAAGCCATTACATGAATAGAGTGCAAAGTAATGTATCTTGCCAACTATGTCAAACACCTTGTGATTTTCTCACATTGCTTTGCTGAAATCAATGGAAATAGATAAAACATTTGGATCAGTGATTCTATGTGAATAAAACCAAAAAGTCATGAGTTTTTCACCTAAATGGCTGGTCACACTTTTAACCTTTAGCTTATCTTTAATTGTAATTCGTTTCCATAACTATAGGGCACAAAGTCCAGAACAAGCCGATTGACTTAAGTTGTTGTGAATCTGAGTCAGTGTTGCGTGGAAGGCAAAGACCACACCACCCAAGACACAACCTTCTGCAATGGCAACTATAGTTGCCAAGAAAAACCATTCACAGGGTGGCTCTCATACAAATAGTCCCTTCACCTTTCCTCACCAACGTTTGCAAAGACGGCTAAATGAGTATAATTCCCAAAATGTTGAACTTGTTAGGTTTCAGGTAAGGAAAAGACTCAAATATGCACATGCAAGCCAAAGCAGAGGTCAATAGGAATTTAATGCAACAAAACAAGAAACATGAACAAAATACAAGG